AAAGCAGAGTGTAAAGGATGGACACTCAGAAAAAAATGTGCATTGGTAGTTCCACACTGGATTTTCACATAGTATGTAGAAGTGACCTAATGAAACTAAGCTGGTTTTCGATGCAGTGATAAACAGACTTTGGTAGCCTATGTGTAAGAAGGACACATTTTGTAGATGGAAGTAGTACCTTTTATTAGCTCAGTTGGTTTAGTGGGAAAAAGCAAAAAACCTTTCAGGCATACAGATCTTTCAAGAAGTTTGGCGCTTTATTCTAGCAACAGCTTTTTCCTGTCTTCTTTTGTCTAACTAAGAGCACTAACTCTATCTAAAAATCTTCTCCTGGAGAAAAGGTCCTAAAAACTCATACAGATTAGAGAATTTGGCCACCATGATTCCCAGTTCACAGCTAGGACAGCCTTGTGGCTGCTTCTGTAAATACCACATCTTGAGATGCATTGGAGCAGTCATCCAGAAATACTGAACTCATGCAAAATGATAATATCTCATGCTTTAACATCAGTTTGAAAAAATAGCCAGGAAGGCCAAGATGAGTAATAAAACCATTGTGCTACAAAGGATCAGGAGTCAATGTAGTTACCTAACCAATATGTTATATACAGCAAACCATTGCACCTTCAACTTGGTTCTTCTGCAACAGAGACCAGTACTTGAACTGGATCAACACTTGCTCTGTGTGGGTCTGAATGACTCTTGCCCTTCAACCACTTCAGCTATATAACTCCTAATCCTTTCCTGAGGCTTCACTTGGTATTTTCTTCATGTAGAGGTGAGACAAAATCATTATTATTCCATTTAATTAAGATACCATATTGGGCAGCATAATCTGGTTTCAGTCTGCCTCCTAAGAATTAACTGAAAGAAAACGTGAGTGAAAGATTTTTCTCTGCACAAAATGTCGACTTTTAATTTGGCAGTTTGTTCTTTTGTTACCTTTCTCTTAACGTACAAAACTATTTCTCGTAATACTTTATGAGTTACATAAAATACTTTAATAATCTTTTCTGTTTCTTTCTCCCCAAGATGATATTTAAAGTAATACACAAGAATCTGAAATTGCAGCACTGCCTGTGATTAAGACTCAGGGAAATGTATTTTTACTTGCTCTGAATGATCTCATATGTAAATAAAAGAACACTTTAAAGAAAAACAAAGCACTTAAAAATGACACATTTCTTTCTCCCTCAGTAATTTTCCACCTTCTAATATCTTAAATAAGGAAAGCTTGTACTTTAGTATAAACTTTCAGAGAAAACTAATCAACAAAATGAATGCATTGCTAGGATATAATGGCTGAAATTACCACGGCAGGGTGGTTTTGTAGCTGTGTGGGTACCTTCATTAGGCAACTCAGGCTGAGCGGGTAACGTGTGTATACATGGGTATACATATCGAGAGAGAAGGGTGGGCAGAAGATGGAGCCGTAAGAACACATGGCATTCCACGGGTGAAAATCCTGCGACAAGGGTGTGTTTTGTTGGGATTCACAAGGCAAGATTAATTCATTTCTTGTTGGGCTGGACTGGCTCTGCACAGAGGAGTCATAGAGGTCTGAATTCTCCCCTCTGTCTATATCATGCTCTCCTATGATGCCATTAAGATACGTTACCGGTCACTTTTTTTTTTCCAATTTTCCTTTTGTTTACTTCAGCTGCCCTACTTCTCAGCTGCACTCCAGACACCTTTTCTCCAGGTTTTGTGCTTCCATGCTCTCACTTTTTTCAGGATTTTCAGTTTCTCAATCTGTTTTTAAAGTCAACCTTCCTGCCTTCTTTTTTCCCTTTCTTCTAGGTCTTTGTGTTCCTCCTTTTTGTTTTTCTCCTGATGATGACAGAAGTTGAACTTTCCACTCTCCCAGCCCTTTCTGTGCTTCCCCACCAGCTTCTATATAATTTCCAGCCAATTTTTGCTTTCTTTAGTAATTTCCTTTCTCTGCCTCCTGGGCATGCAAGACAAGCTATTCACTTTCAGAAACAAAAACCAAGTAGCAAGTTTACAGAAAAGTCCCTGAGCAAGGCAAGACAAGTAATAGTTATTGCCAGCCTTCCAGCGTCAGCCGAGACTGCAGTAAGGCAGTCTCACGGGGAGCTGAGGATGTGGTCTGGGACTCCTCGCGTAATGCCGTCATACTGCGAGCAGTGGGAGCGGAGAATAACTTTCCCTTGGGAGGGAGGTGGTAGCTGAAGCTTTACTGAGAAATTGCATATTTAGATGAGAAAGAAAACAGGCTTTTCTTCACCCTTTAGAAAGCCAGCCAGCTGGAATCTCTTTTAATATTTATTCTAATACAGATGATACTTGAAGGGGTAACCCGGGATTACTGCTCTTGACTTAATGACTCAGCAGGATTCACTGGTCTTGAATGGCAATGACGCCTGTCTGGTAGTTCACACCTTGCAGTGCTGTTGCTTGAGATAAATTATGGATTCAGGCAAACAGCACCACATCTTGCATCAAATTTCCCATGTGTATTTACAGGCAAGACTAGTTTGTGGGGGGGTTTTGAGCTCTGATTCTGATGTCATGTGCATAGAGAGTATTTTCCCATAGTGTTGCACCAGTAGAATCCATGTCTTTGCTTGTGCTGGGTGGGAGCCATAGCCAGACTGCTCTTCCTTTCTATAAGTAGGAGTCCCCCAGTCATTACAAATCTCAGTGCTCTTCTCCTCACATCTTTTCTGTTTCCATTCCTGCCATGTGTTCCTGCACATTTCAGGTTTCATGCAGCCATGAAGAAGTCTGCTCTTGGTCTCAGATCTGTCTCCTCCTGTCTTAATCCAGCCCATTTATGCTTAGTCATGGAGTCCACACATGATGCAATGTTTCAGGCATGCCAAAACACTCTTAAGAAGGGGAAGTTATGGGAATCAGAGAGAGTGGGAGAGAGTGAGGCAGTACAGTGAAAAGTGATGGAAGAGGAGTGTTGTTCTACTTCCATCACTTATAAATAATTCTCAGATAAAATGTTCTTGGTGGAATCATATCCCCACTGAATTCAATTGGAGTTTAGTGTTTGACTTCAAAGTTGCAGCATCTTACTCTTCATTCACTCTATCTTTAACCCAGTAATTCTGGAATTAAATCTGCATTAAATTATAATCGTATAAAATTATATATATTTGTATATCTCCTTGGCTCTTCCAGAGGAAAAGAAGCAGGGGGGAGGAGGAGGAGGGCTTATATAATGTTTACCTATGTATATAGATGCGATCCTATTGAGACCAAGGTTAAAGAGGATTGTTATACTGCCCGTTATTAAGAATCAATGTTCATTTCTGCTTAGAGACACTTCTGTTTCCACCTTCCATTACATAACAACACTTTCTTGCAGGATTGTCAGAAGGTATCATAAGTCTATCCTATGCGTAGCCCTAGGAAGCAATTTTGCCCTGTTTGTTTCTTTTTTTTTAATGGAAAATAAGCTTCCCAGGTGACTGGTGAGACATTTTGTTTCACATTATTTTTCCAAGTTCCACTGGGTTTATTTTGAAAGGATGTAATTTCTCTGGGAGAGGCAGTTGTTTCTTCTCTCTTAGACCATGCCTATGCTTCTTAATGTCCTCAGTAGCCAATGGCTTCCCTTCAAAGGGGGATTCCCATCTCCATCCCAGATGCAAGGGGACTGATTTGAAGAACCCATTATGGTTTCGTTGCTTATATGTGGAACTAGCTGAAGTTCCCCATCACATCTGCAAGCACGATATCACCTAGTCAGGGTGGGAAGAGAAGAAAGGAATGTGACTTAACTGTGGACAAGTATAGCTGAGCTTGCTGCCCAGAGAGGTGGCTGCATGGGGTACATGGAATATGTAAGTATGGGACAGCAGATGCATGGGAGGTTGAAAAAGCAACTTCCCACAGGAGCGCAATGGGCCTCAGTAAAGGTGGTGAGAGCACTAGTGGGTGGGATGTCTCCTTTACGTCAATCACAAAGCCTTGGCTTAGTGTGAGAAATGCTAGGAATACTCCACTGACAATGAAATTATTTTAGTTTTCCAAAGACAGCTGGCTGTATTTTTCTTCTGTTTTCTCTGTGCATTTATGTAAAGATGATCATATATGCTTTTCTTACCATGTTTGGGTTGCTAACTCTGTAGGTGCCTGAGCCCCTCTCCATGTGTAATACTGATTATTCTCAGCTCTTCAATACACTGTTAAATCTGTATGACAACTGACCATGTTAATTTTCCTAAGACAAAGTAAGGTCTGCAAGAGTGAGCTTGAAACTCTTTCAGAAATTGTTCTTTTTTATTTTTATTTTTTATTTAAAGCAAGTAGGACATTTATAGCTTTTTGGTACTAATACTTTCATGTAGATGTGTTTATAGTTGGCACTGTAAATGTAAATATTCTTGGTGGGATATGCCCTTAAGGCCTGTAGCAATCTTAGGAAAATAGCAGTGCTTTCTGCATATGAGGGTCTACTGCATATGCATCTGTTAGAAGGACAAGAATGTATGCCTCTCTGTTTTATAAGATGAATTAAATTCTAGGAAGGAAATTTTCTTGTTGATTTCATCTAGCCCTGCAGCTAACTGTAATATTACCACTGGAGTTGTTCTGATCAGAAAGATGTTACTGGTGTAATATTTTAAAACACAGGGCTTGCATAACTTTATCACTTAATACAGTTATTGCAGCAACTAATCTTGTTGTCAGGCAGTGTAATTCCTATTTAATTTTTATCTTTCTGTCATATTTTTCTCTTAAAATCCAAGGGGAATAATAAATAACATGTGAAAATTGCCTGAAGAAGAAAACCTTTGACCTCAGAAATACAAATAAGACTGCACTGTTGTTTCAATCACTTCACTAGAAACACATGAAAATACAATGAAAATATTAAAAACTTAGGCACAGAAAGAAACATAGATAAATCCAGTATGAGCATAAGAAACTTCTTTGTGAAGAAAGCAGAAAGTCTTTTTTTCAGTGCCCACCATATTGTATATATTTGCTGACCATTATCATTATGTTTCCGTCCCATTTAGGAGATTGTCAACTTCAACTGTCGGAAGCTGGTTGCTACAATGCCTCTTTTTGCTAATGCAGACCCAAATTTTGTGACTGCCATGCTAAGCAAACTGCGATTTGAGGTGTTCCAACCTGGAGATTATATTATCCGAGAAGGGGCTGTGGGTAAAAAGATGTATTTCATTCAGCATGGTGTTGCTGGTGTCATCACCAAATCCAACAAGGAGCTGAAGCTGACAGATGGCTCTTACTTTGGAGGTGAGTAGGAAAAAAATGGTTGATAACATTGGAGTGAGTGCAGTAGAACAAAACATGTTCAGATATCAGACACACAGAGACATCAGAATAAGTCTACTAAGTGTCTTTTGCCTAGACAATGCCAGCTGCAATGGAGAGTGAATCAAATATTTCTGAATAAGACATTCAGAGTCTGCTTACTGTTGTGAGGAAAGCTATTGAAGATTCAGAATCACCTTCCTGAATTTTGAAGGTTTTTTTAAGTAAGAGCACTGTTACTTAACAGACAGTATTTAAATAAAAATGTAATAATTTACATAGTAATTTTATGGCTATTTAAAGGTAAAATAAACAGGATTCATCTTCTTCCAAAAAAGGGATACTATTTTTAAGTCATAAATGTAAAGTACGTCTAAAACGTAAAAATCACTGTAAGAACTAAAAAATTAGGCAGTGCATAAAAGACCATTACTTATATGGGATATTTTGGTATTCATTAATATGTCAAGCTGTTATTAGTGCTTTTTCACTGAATTTTAGCACACAGCAATGTTTATCCTTCCAGTATATACTGTGAGAAATGGGACTCCCTATCTGACTGGATAGATCTCTAGCAGATGTATATTAATAAGAACCAGCCATGAATTTTAATCCAAATTAAATTCATCTGGTAATCCTAATGAAAAATAGGGTTTCAGTTAGATGAAGGCACCTGAATATTTATAGTTGGATGAAGGCAATCTCTTTTTTTTTACATATAATAATTGACCAGTATGAATATGTCGTTCCTTGTGACTGCAAATTGCCTTTGTGCAATAGAATAGGTGTCTGCTTCTGTGAGTGGCAGCAAGGCTGGTTTCCAGAAGCTGATTGAACATTTGTGTGTACCACTGCTGCCTGTGACGGTTACAGTTAGTTGGTCATTGTATTAATTTTCTGTTGAATCCTGTGAATCATCCCAGAACTGAGTCAAAAGCCTTTCAGAAAATGTTCAATTGAAAGCCTAATCAGTGGCATTTAGCCGGTATACAGAAGTGGGAAGCTTAAAAAAGTGAATTGGGCTCAGTGTTTGAGTTAGGCTATAGAGTTACTTAACTAATCCCATTTTAGAATAATGCGCTAAAGCAACTCCTACTGATCTGGCCAGCAGGCCTTGTCACTCTGCAGTGGCCTCTGCAAGGTGATTTGCACCAGTATTTGTAGAAGCACTTCAGTAAAGAGGTCTTGTGCTTATCCCCTGGGCTTAAACTGTAGATGCTGAAGACAGGAGATTAAGGAGGAAGAAAAGGTAAATGCTGAGGATGAAGAAACAGAGCAATCTTGGTCTTGGTCTTCTCTATGCTTAGCAGTGCCCCAGTTTATGAAAATTAGTTTGCAAGAGCCTGCATGCTGAATCTGACCATAATACTCCTCTGAACCAGCAGAGGATCAGAGGAGATTGCACATGAAAGTATTTTACATAACTGTCAGCCTGTTGTTGCAGTGCAAACGACTACTTAGCTCACCCTGTAAGCCATTTGCAATATCCAGACACCGCAAGAACTTGTTATGCTGCATACCAAAGCAGTTTTGATCATCCCAGCCGCAGATGAGATGAGACAAGGTGTGTAAAAGTAGGGGCAAATGCATCTAAAACATAACAGCTGCTGGGGCAAATGGGAGATAATAGATGCTGATGGATGTAGCCTGGAGAGAAGAGACAAGGAGAGGAGAGGGAAGGGCAAGCACACAGGGAGACAGAACCTGAACCTGAGAAAGGAACTTTTAACAAAATATCATATAGCGTTGTGAATTCACAGAAGGGGATTTCAGACCCTGGAAAAGAATGACCTGTTTGGCTGCAGCTGAAAAGAGAGGAAACCAGCTGCACATCAGATAACTGCAAATCGAAAAGGTTTGGTTTGTCAAAGCAGAAAAAAAAAATTTCTAATATTCTGTTCTCTTTGGAGAAGACACTTTTCACCTAAAATGTGTATCAGAATCTGCATAAAGCTTCCTGAGCAAAAAAGACATGAGAAATTTTGTACAGTGGAACAATAACAAGCTGGAAGAGTAAGCCTGTGTTCAAATCCTAAAACCAGTAACCCCTTTTTTGCCTAATGGAGACATGCGAAATCTGACGCTGAGATAATGTTTAAGAAACTGCAACTTATAACTTCAACTTAACTGTATAGCTCCCAGGTCTGACACAATAAATCAATACCAACACTTGTGCTCCCACGAGCCAGGGAAGGACACGCAGGTGGGAGGGGTGTGCCATACCTAAATGGATCCTTTTTCAATTTTTAAATGTTTTATGAATTGGAAGTTCCCAGTCCCAGCTCAGTGATAGTAACTGTTGGATGTCAGGTATGTCCCCGAGCTGAGTTTCCTGGGGGATTTGGCTCTGGGGAGATCCATAAGGAGTCCCTGGAGAGGCAGGCTCACCTGCAGAACTCATTGAGGGTTTTACCAACACCCTACCTTGGATTTGGAAAAAAAGTTATCAAACTTACAAGATGTAAAATGTTTGGTTGTTGACAACATTGTATTAGTAGAAAGCTTTTGACATCCTGGAGTTGTTGGGGTTTAGTGTGGAAGCCAAGATTTAAGAAGAATCAAAGCAATGTCACCAGCATTTGGGAGAGGCTTGAATGGAGATTCTTGGGAGAGTGAGACACTGGAAAACCAAAAGTTACAGTAATAAAGAGAGGAAATAGCTGGATGTTTGAATATTGAGATGCTGTTGAAGATTTAAATTCTCTTGCCTGATCCTTGCTCTTAATTAAAAACCAGGCCTCCCTACAGATCTGGGTGTTATAAGTCACATGAAACTAGATTAACCTTACAATTGCTTGGAAATTCGTCTCAAAGAATGTGCGTGGATAACGGTCCATGGAATAGATTAATCAGGTTACACTTCACCTCTGCTTTATGTTCTCTGTTGATTTTTGAGGGAGGTGCAAAGCAGTACTCTAGAGAGCCCTCCACAGAACTAGGCTTGATTACTGTCTGCATCTTTCCTCATCTGTGCTCACTGGTTTCTCCTTTCTGGAGGGAAGAAGTACAAGACAGTAACCATGGAGATCTTGTGTTTTTTTCATTGGTATTCCTGTGGGAAAAGCATCCGATCCCTGAACCTTCATAAATCTAATCTTGAACTTTGTGTGCAAGAGCATTACTTACCCCAGCAGCACAAAGCGCCCTAATTCTCATCCCAACAAGTTTTTTTCAGACTGCTGATTGAAGGATTTTATCATTCTCTATATCTGCTCCAAGTACTGGTAGGAATTTGAAAGTAATTTCTGGTACTATCCTTTTCCCTAGGCCATGTACCTCATCCACCTTTTTCCCCACTCCACCTTTGATGGAATACACCAAATGTGAAGAGCACGTGAAATAGCGACCAGTCTGCACTCTCTCAGATCTGCAGTCAACATACTTAAAAACCAATATTGCCCAATTATTGAATGATAAATATGTTCAGAAAAAAATCATGATTTGAGGTTGACTATGCTCTTTCAAACGTTTCAGTAATGGTCACAGAGGGAATGTTTTAAAGAGAGTGCCATAAATTATGTCTTGGACAGACATGGATCAGTGGAAGGATTGTTTCATGAAGATTCAGGACAATCCGTTTTCATTCGCCTTTTACTGGCATTTAAGTAAAACAGTAACTTTTTATTGCCTTAACTTAGAATCTCTGTCCTCACATGGTGTGCTTGTGTGAGTTTTTATAGAAGGGACAAGAATTAGGCAATGAAGAACATGAAGCTAAGTTTTATATTGCACAGTTATATAGTCATTTCTACATCAGTGAAATTATGTAAGTCACAGTTACCAGTGGAGAATTCCAGGATTTTAATACTCTGTAGCTGCCTTCATTGGATTCTCCAGGACCATATCTTGTTACGTTTGAGGAAATACTAATTTTTCCTAAATGTCTGTGGAGTTTTTATGTCTTCCTTCACTTGTTCCTCCTGTTTTCTAAAACATCTTGAATTCCCGGAGTTCCCTGTCATTAGGAATGGGATTGCTGCTACTTTCAGCAATACAGTAAACGCGTCTTTTCTCATCACAAATAAAAGAGAAACTTGTCCCACTGAGGCTGACACAGTTTTCATATGAGGGGAAACAAGGTTGCTCTCAATGGAAATTAATGACCTTCTCCTTCTAACTGCTTCTGTAGGATGGGCAGGGTGAGTAAAATGGGAATGAAGAAGGAAAGGACAGGGTGGATGGTCAGGGCTATGTTAACACATAGGACAAAACCACAGAGGAGGTCAGAAGAGTGTGGGGGGTGAGATGGGGGTCAACAGAGGGAGGACCGTGTGCGTAGGAGTCTGGTTGTGAGTACTGCAAAGAAAGATGAGAGGAACTGTGAGTGCAGGGCAACGTTGTGAGCATGAGATTGATGGGAACGGGAAGAAAATGCAAGAGGCAAGAGCACGTCTGAACAAGACTAAAGCAACCTTCAGAAGCTGGAAAGGAGTGGGAAGGTGCTCACACCTATCCTGTTTGAGCAGCAAGTAGGAAAACCTGGCTGCATGTGCGTTTGCAGCTAAGTTGAACTGCAAGCTTGAGATACACTTGAATTCAGCCTTACTGGGATGGAGAATAAGAATCAGGAGGAAGATGAAAAATGTAAGCAACTGTATTTTGAGGATGTTGTGATGGCTAAATTACTTAATTTTTTTTTGTCATCTAGTCCATTGTTTTAAGTATCTGCAGTTTACAATTCTGAAAGTCTTTGTTAAGAACACAGCAGTGGAGAATGAGAGTGCCCCGTTTTTTTGGTCTATCTCAGTGCGTATTTTTGTTTCTCTTCTTTAATACCTTAGTAGTTCAAACTTTTTTATGCTGCAAACCAGGTAGTAAGTGGTAGGGAGGAAATTGTCAGGCTTCTGTCCTACTAAACCTTTTCCTCTTGAGTACCAGGTGATCGTGTTAGAAATTACTCAAAGGCTTCTTCTGATAGGAGGAATTACTGAACAGATTGTGTATTTCTTCCTCACTAGATACTTAAAATTGGTAAAAAGCAA